GTTGCTAATCTATGAACAGTTATGTTGAGGTGTTCATACATATGAGTATTTTATTAATGTGCTCAATATTTTTGGACATTCAATACCCTTCCTTCATCATATAGTAACATTTTCGTCTAGAAGTGTTATAAGTAAGGAAAATTATTTTATGTGGGCTAAACTGCATTTCTACAATTTGCGGTCGAGAGATATAAAGCATCCATCTTAAAGATAGATGCAAATAGGTGGTCTATCTAAAAGCAATTATAACTAATAGTCCAAAAGTTTTTTAAATATAATTATTATTTCTAGTTTTAATTATTATTATTTTTATATTCATGATCATCAAGTTAAAGATTATATATTCTCTAAAAATTAAAATCAAATTATATTTAAAAATATATTTATTACCAAACCCATATTTCTACAATATGCCGGCTGGCCGCATAGAAACTGTGTCCTTTAAGTAATTATTTAGAAGCAAAGTATAAATTCATGATAGAAAGAAGAGATTTTATTAAGGATAAATATATAATGTGACTATTTATCTTTGGTACAAGATGGTCACAATTGATCTTGACTATTGAATATGTAATTAGATGTTTGCATTTATTCTACTGACTAAGCTTAAACTTTTAAAGAAAAATTTTCAAATTTTGAGACACACCCAAGCTATTAAAATTCACAGCGGATGGTTGTAAAAATAGTGACATCTTTGTACTAAAAGTAAATGATCTCATTATATGTATTTTTTTATTATTAATTATATGGGACTATGACATCATCTATATAGGTTGTAGCATCACCCAAATACCAAATAAAATATTAAATGCCATTAGGTTCCTATAGAAATACATATTCTATCATTCCTAATAACCAAAAGCAAAAAGTTTATATTATTATGAGGCTCTAAACAATCAAAATCGAGCACAAAAAGAGGTTGTTTTGATGCCTAAATCCTCAAACAGATCATCACGACCTCAAGATGCATGGACGTGAGAAGAAAATGAATTTCAAGTTTTTGAAGTAGCGCATCTCGTAATATATTTTTTGATCGTTAATTTTCAAGTTTTCATAAATCTACTTGATCTACACTACTTTTGAAGTTTTAAAATTTATAATTAACGATGAAAATATATTTTAAGGCTATCACAAAAAATTTCAATATTGAAACCATATTTCTCGATACTATTTCAAGGTGTGCTATATTTTGATTGTTTAGAACCTCCGCTCTAAACAAACTACATCTTAAAAAAAAAAAAATTTATTTTTATTAAAAATATTGTATTACAAAATAATGATATATAAATATCTAAAATTTGTTACACAATGATGTGGGAGCAACTTCACAAAATTGATATATGTATTCAATCCCAATCTTACGACCGCTTTTCATTTCAAAATTCAAGGGACAAAATTAATTGGTAAAAAATAAAATAAATGTTCTCTCCGTCGACAATCCGAAAGTGGATTCCTCAAATTTGTCGCCATCCGTAGGAATCAAACGCATTGGAATCTTTTGTAAATTTCAACAACGACCAACCAAACGGTTGATATTTGGAACAGAAATTAAGGGTATTTAAGTCATTTTTCTGAGGACATCGTCCATCCGTCGCTCAATTGAAGCTCACTCTCCTCTTCGCAGGAACAAAACCTGTCTACTCTCTCTCTCTCTCTACTCTTCTTCACCATTTCTTCTGGTTCTGATTCTAGGGCTATGCTTTCTGAACTCGGGGCAATGGCTTCTCTCAGCAATGTCTATTTGTCACCAAAATCGCAGTATCCTTCTTCTTTTTCTTCTGCAATTTCGCCATGTAAAAGTGTTTGCTTAGTTTCTCCAAAGACAGCTTCGGATTTTCAATTAAAGGGGGTTTCTATGAATCTTGATCTGTTTGTAATTCGAGGGAATCACCATGGCAGAGCTTGGAAATGTGGTGTTCAGTTGGTTCCAGTGAGTAGTTTGAATTAAACGGTTCCATTAACTGCTGCTGGTTTTTAGGTTCGAGTTCTGATACATATATGAAAAAAAGCAAAGAAAAGTCTTCATTTTTGTGTGGTTTGGATTAAAGTATTATATGTTGTTGGGATCAGCGCTTAATTATGGAGAATTGTTTTTAAGTAATCATTCGCTAGTTGCTTATTGACATTAGCACTTAATATTGGATAATTGGGGTTTTTATTTATTGGGTTGTTGGAATTTGTAATATGACTTGAATTTATTTGTTATACTTACTGAATTATCTGTATCAATCAGAAAAGAAGACCCAATTCATCAAAAAAACTGGAATTTGAAATTTTCTGCATGATTTTGTTCGAATTTCGTAATTCACACGGGTTTCTCGTAGCTGAAATTTAATTAATGAGCGAGGAAAAATTGAGACTTTCCTCCATTGCTGGAATTTTATGTATTTTCTCAGTGATAAATTGTGAAATTTAAGGTTATGTTCCTTATTCTGAGTTTTCCAAGCCATACGTTTTTTAATAAAAAGAGTTGAGATTGATTCTGTTCAGGGTGGTTGAGTTTTGAACATTGCATGGGCTCCTATTAATCATGGGATCATTGCAATCATTCTAAAAAAGAAGTAATCGATGATAACTGACAAGTGCATTTTCGGGGTCGGTCAAAATCCTATTGCTGAATGTATTTGTTATGGTTACTGAAAGAATCAATCTAATAGGCCAAAAGAGGAAGTTGGAATGGTCTCAGTTGGGTCATTGGAGTTTTTATGGCCAGTTTCTCATAACCGATTATCAAACACAACCATCTAGAAAAACGTCAAGTTTTGCATTACATGGAAAGAGAAGTTCTACGTTTAGATATAAAGAAACTAGTGATGCAACCAGGAGGGAAGAATAAATAAGGAAAATAACCAAAAAGATTTATGCGGATGATCAATAACTTTGTAACAGGTGAAGTTGGCCTTTGGCTATAGTCTAATAGTATTTGAGTTACCCTATAAAGGTAATGATCTGGGAGATTAGATATGGCTTCTTATACCTTTCTCATGGTAATGATGCTGATAATTGTCAACTCTTCTCACACCTGATAAGTCTCTGAAATGTACAGATTATTTTATTCAGAGTTCTTGTTATGGTGGTTGTTTGCTGTAATCTGATTTTATACTACATTTATGGATCTCTTTTACCCTTGTTCAGATCATGGTTTTGGATTTTCATGGGTTTTGAACGTTTTGTGGAACCTATGTGCTTGTTAAGATCATCATTGTCATCAACATCATATTTATTCTAAGGATTTTAGCTTGCGAAGACTGCAGGTTCTAAGTTTCAAAGCTTTGATATCACTAATTTTTGTGGTTTTTGTATGATCAGATTATGGCGGTGCAAAAGTCAGAGCCTCTGAAGATTATGATTGCTGGAGCTCCAGCATCAGGAAAAGGAACACAATGTGAGCTAATCACAAAGAAAGTAAGTTTGAGTGCTTATTTTACTTCATTTCATTGTCACAAATGCAGAAAAATAATGAGAACAAAATTACTTTTTAATTCTCTCAAAATAAAAAACAAAACAAAATTACTTTTTGAAATCGTTTTAGGAATGGCCTTACGAATGTGTCCTTAAACCAAACAAGGAAAATAATGTTATGATAAAATCACAAGGAAAATAAGGAGAATCAAAACCAATGGGCTGAAACCCCAAGATGATCCGAAAAGATCTAGAACCCTGAAGAGAAATTCTCTGATCAGACTTTTCTTCGAAATTGAAGAGGAATTTCACCTCCATTTAGGATGTGTTTCTTCCCGGAAGTCCTCTATCTATTGATAAGTTCATTAAAGTTAAGATGCATCTTTTTCCTCAACAAAAAGAAGATGTTGAGATGCATGAGTGTGACCATCACCATGTTTTGTGCACATAACTCTCAAAAAGGCAGTCTGTGTAGCCTTCAATAAGATTACTATGATGCATTAACAAGCAGGCACTTAGTTTTAATCAGCATGAACTAAATATAGAGGTTATATCACCGCCTAACATGCTGAATATATCTAGATGCTGTGATAGATCATTATGAGATCCCACTTTCTTATGAAGTTATCTTGTATTGTGGTTTTTTTTTGGCTGTCGTATATCACAGTTTTTCAAAGAGATCAATCCCATTTTCCATATTAAAGTACTCAGAATACGTGGAATTTCTCAGCGTTAGTGGAGGATTAAAATCTGGAATTAGGGGTCTGTGGTTGACTGATATTGCACAAACTATCAGGTCCATCGTTTGAGAGGAAGGTGTTTGATGGACAATATATTTTGGCCATTAGACTATAGCATACTTTCCAATATGCTTATCTATGAAATGCAGAATGTGTAATGAATGCGTGCTTCTACGTCTTGAATGTTTTGTTTATCTTCAAATGCAGGTCATATTTTGTGTGCCAAATATTCGGCATTTCAAAGAAATTGCTAAGTGGTGGGAAAGAGTTGTGAGATATTTCACAAAAAGTAATTTATCTGTACAAGTTGGATGGTTCTGATCCTTCATCCCCTTGGATACTTCGAAAAAGTTTGTGAGAACGTTGTCAAATATTAGTGTTTTATATCATGTCTATGTTCTTTTTTCCCTTTTTTTTTTTTTTTTTTTTTTTTTTTTGTCCTTTTTGCCTTCTTTCCTATGGGAGCAACCTCTGCTTCAGATGACTTCGGTTTTCAACAGAATGTGATGGGTATGTGGGCATATATGCCATTTTAAATCTGTTGGCCTCTCCTTATCTGTTAATGATATGTTATCAATAAGAGAAAAAGAGCAGTACATGATGGATGATGATGACCTAATGTACTAAGACTAATGCTTTTCCATAGTCCATTAAAATTTGTGTACTTTATGATAGAAAAAAGATTCCTATGTTGATTCGCATATTAGAAATTGTACAGTATTGGATGAAATTGGTTATGTTGATACGCATGTTAGAAAAAACTATACAGTAATAGTGACATTTGTAATACTCACTCTAGCATCCTGTAGCGCCTGTACATCAAATATTCTAAATGTTTTTTGGTTTTTTGGATGCTTCCTTATATTTATTTTGTAATGTCATTACATTGTTATCTAAGATTATTGTAAACTGAAGAACTATGTATTTACTTTTTTGTAAATGTCACTTCGAATTTTCATACATAATCCTTCACCTTAATAATTACTCATCGTTTAAGCAGATTGAAAAATGTGAATCTTGTGCAGTATGGATTGGTGCACATTGCTGCTGGAGATCTATTGAGGGCAGAGGTTGCTCAAGGAACAGCAAATGGAAAGAAAGCAAAAGAATACATGGAGAAAGGCATGCTGGTTCCTGATGAAATAGTTGTCACAGTAAGGTTTCCCCCCCCCCCACTCTTCAATTGGGATCAAGGTGGGCATGTTGACTATAACTATGGGTCATTATTTAATAGTTGTACATTACTCATACTTGGTCCTGGATTTCCAGATGGTGAAGGAGCGCCTATTGCAGCAGGATGCCCAAGAGAAGGGCTGGCTTTTGGATGGATATCCGAGGAGCTTATCTCAAGCAACAGCCTTGGAAAACCTGCAAATCCGGCCCGATCTTTTCATTCTGTTGGATGTAAGTATATGAGCTGTTTTTGAAAATAGACTTTAGTAGTCCTCCAGAAAAACTAGTGTTCTTGATTTAGAGACATTTTAAGCCTTCCAGAGATAAATGATATCCCTATCTTAAACAGATGGAACTATGCAAATTTCATTGTCTATTTATTTTGTTTGTTTTGTTTATTTGTCAAATACCATGAGACTCAATGAGAAACTATTTTCTCGTTAAAAGATTTGAAAGGAAATCAGTGTCTTAACGATGGGTTGTTTTTGCAGGTCCCTGATGAGATTCTCGTTGAGAGAGTTATTGGCAGAAGGCTTGACCCTGTTACTGGAAAGATCTACCATTTGAAGTATTCTCCTCCCGAGACTCAAGAAATAGCTAATAGGCTTACTCAACGCTTCGATGATACTGAAGAAAAGGTTAGGCTACAACCTCAGTTTTCCTTCTTTGTCATGCTTTTCTATGCTAGAAAATGTTCATTTATTCATTTATTTGGTTCATGTAGGTAAAGTTGCGGTTGAAGACCCATCATCAGAATGTGGAAGCTGTACTTTCCATATATGAAGAAGTCATAATCAAGGCAAGCTATTGGGAATCCTTTTCTCTGCATTGTGTATTGACAGAAATAATTTGAGAGAGAGAGCCAATACTAGTATTTCTGATTGCAGGTGAAGGGGGATCTTCCAAAAGAGACTGTGTTTGCGGATATTGATGCTGCGCTAAGTGTAGTTCTTGAGAGCAAAGCCAAGCCCATTTCAGCTGCCATGGCGACCAGTGTGACACAGTGAAGATCCAACATTGTAGCATAGCAGTTCGGATGTGATTTGAAGGCATATCTTTGTCTCCCTTTGAGGAAGGGAGGGAGGATGAGAGTAATTTTTCAGCTGCAGGAAAATATATCCAATTATCCCTTGTGAGTTAACTATAGTGTTGTTGTTCACTATAGATTGAAATAGTTGTGTAGTTTGAAATGTCACTTGCATTTTGCCTGTGTTAATTCATCACGACAATTGACTTGCCATCCATTGTCTGTCCAGTCCATTCAGCTTATGAGCTGATGGAATAATATAAACCCAACGATCCAAATTGAATCTGGACTAATCTGATGGTTATGACTGTATTTTATATTTGAAAGCTTTTTTTTTTTACAAACCTGTATCACATGAAATTCGAGTCCACTCTTTTCATCATCAAGGTGCACCTAATAGAAATATTAAAAAAAATAATTCGTAAAAATTGAATTGATCAAAGTACCTTTAATAATTTCAATGATATTTCGATTTATTTAATTTTATGTAATTATTTTTTGTATATTTTTATTAGATTTGTCTATTTAAAAAAAGAACATTGATTTGGTATTTATCTATTTTAATGTAGATGCAAGTTATATATATATATATATATATATAGAGGATTTGTCTAGAGTTAACAACCCCTCAAAATACAAAAGTTCAAGTTAGAAGGGGATGTGAATGGTGTATTTATCAAAACAATCGTTATTTTTTCATTAAAAAATTATTTAAATAGGTAAATTTACTATTAAATAAGGGTAAATTTGAAATTTTTACAAAAGTATTATGGCATTTTGAAAGTTTGTATCTGAAACTTTATTTTGTAAAATGCCATTGTCCTTTAGTTAAAATTTCAATTTTACCTTTTATACATATGACAAAAATACCTTTTGTCTTGTAATAATATTTACAAATTTGCCTCACAAAAGTAACTTTTTTTAAAAGGTAGACAACAAAATTAATAAATCCACCATTCACCGCTCTCTCTATCTTGAACATTTATAATTTGAAGTCCTCTATGCCCATGGGTGTATTGGTACAGTAAATGCCCAATGACTCAGACCAAATCTGGGTCGATCTAACATTCACAGTTGTTCGAGTGTTTGAATTTTAATTTTTTTTTCTACAAATCGAAATGATTTAAAACTTGAAACGTCTGTACATCTTAGTGAGGTGTACCTAATAAAAATATAAAAAAATAATTTGTAAAAACGAAATTAATCAAAATACCCTTGAAATTCAAAGGTATTTTGGTCAATTTATTTCATGTAAAATATTTTTTTTTTATATTTTTTGTAGATTCACCTATTTTTTATGAATAGATGCTACAAATTTTATATAATTCCATTTTGTGAAAAAAAAAAAAAAAATGCTCCAAATTTTATACCGGATATCCGTGATCGTCAGATCGATCTGAGACGTTCGACATTTACTGTAGCGGTACACGAATCGACGTACCGTAGCAT